GGGCCAGCATGCAGTGGCGTCATCAGAGGTCACTGCAACCTCAAACTCCTGGGCTCAGGTGACCCTCCTGCCTCAGCCTCCTGAGTAGCTGGGACTACAGGTGTACACCACCATGCCCAGCTAATTTTTCTATTTTTTGTAGATACGGGGTCTCACTCTTGCTCACGCTGGTCTCAAACTCCTGGCCTCAAGCAATCCTCCCACCTCAGCCTCCCAAAGTGCTAGGATTATAGGTCTGAACCACTGTACCCAGCCTACTTTTGACTTTTGAGCATTGTAAATTGTCAGGCTCACACACACAACAAGGCAAGGCCAAGACCCAACTTATTTGACTGGTAAAGACACGACACTTTGAGATTTAGATGGTTTATTACTTACATACGACGGTGAAGAGGGTAAGACCAACGTACCAGTTTCCCAGGTCCTTGTTTCACAAACCCAGAAAGACCACATTGAAACAAAAAGGGCTGGATGACTACAGTGTGAGTTGTGGGATACCCTGTTGCTGGGGAGCCAACTCTAGTCTACAGCTAAGTGGGGTTTTTTTGCTTTTAAATTTTATTTTTGGTGATTTTTTAAAACTAAACGATTATATATTCTGTAGCTGTAATCCGAGAGGGGTGGAGCAGAAAGGCTCAGGCCTTATCAGAAGCTGAAGTTGATGAGAAATGCCTCATGACAACCTCTCAGGGGAGACAGGGAGGCGAGTGGGAGTGGGCCTCGTAACAACTTAGTACAGGCCTCCCATCCTTGTGTTCCAGGAGGGTCACACAAGGCATTCAGCCAAGATTCTGCAAAGTTGTGGTTCAAGCCATTGAAGGACATCTGCAAGTTTTAAACCACAGACTATTTAAAATGTGCCTTTTTAATGGCTAAGTGGTCATGCTTGGGATTGGTGACAAAGAGCCTAACAGTCTTGACACTTCACATGCCTCCTGATGTGAGGCAGTGGGAGTTTCGTCAATGTGATATTCCTGCCAGAAATGTTTAACCTGAATCTTATCACAAGGAAACTGAAGAATTAAGAATTTGGGATAGTGTGCAAGATCTGGCCTGGATTCTTCAAAGGATTCAAAGTAATAAATACAGAAGGAAGCAGTAGGACTGCTTCTGGACTGAAGGAAGACTAGAGAGACCCAACAGCCAAATTCCACGTGACCTTCTGCTGGACCTTGGGATTAGGGGTGGAGGTAGAGAAGGCATAATGTACATTTTTTTGAGGCAACGGGGGAAATCTGAGTATAGACTGTATACACTCAAGTCTATAGACATATACAGCATGTGTCTATACTCACTAGCCAACTATGGGACAATCTGAACATCAAAAACAGTAATTGATTTTCTTAACTGTGGTAATGGTATCATAGTTATACAGAATGTTCTTGTTCACAGGAGATACATGCTTGAAGTATTTAGGTTTAAGTAGTATGAAGTTTAAATTTTGTTTTGGCATGGCAAAATGTTCACAGTGAATCCAGGTGAGGGGTACACCTGTTCACTGTACTATCCTGGTTTGTAAGTTTGAAATTTCTCAAAATTAAAATAAAAAATCTGGGGAGCTTTTCACAACTTGTGGGGCATGGGTTCTGGGCTGATTTGCCCATTTTCTTTTTAGATTCAAGAAATCCATGGTGAAAGGTTTGGATTCCTATGAAGAAAAAGAGGACAAGGTGATCAAAGAGGTAAGTTAAAGGCAAAGCCTCTGAAGGACACAGCCCCCATGATCATCCTGTACCTGTCTAAGCAGCCTCTCGCCCACAGATGGCAGCTCAGATCCGTGAGGTGGAGCAGAGCCGGCAGGAAGTGGTTCGGTCTGTCTTAGAGGTTGGTTCCCCTCGGAGGATCCAGAGCAGTATCCAAATCCACTGATCCCTGGCTTTCCCAGGTCCAGCATTTCATGAACCAGCTCTTCTAAGAGAACTCTCGGACTCCATTCCTCATCTGCTTGGCTTGAATTCCCTTACTTGTCTGCCAGCAGGCAGGCCCAGTCAGTGAAGATGTGGACAGGGCTGGGAGGGAAGGACGAGTTTGCAAGATGGGCAGTACCCCCCATATGCCAATTTGTTGCCTTCCTGTGATACTGGGGCCTGGAGGGTGGGGGCATAGCCCAGGCAGGCTCTTAAACATCCCAGACACATTTATTTGTCCTGAATCAAACTCAGCCTCAGGCAGTGCCAGACCCAGAAGAGGGCTCTTCAGCACCTGGAAGCTGGAAAAGGACGAACAGGTAAGATTTTTAGGGAATCTCTTGTTGGGAGTTTGACATCTTAGAGCTGTCTGCAATCTTTTGCCTGGGAAGTGGGAACAGATCTGATCTTTACCATCCTCCTGGCTCAAGGACCTCATCTGCCAGCCTGGCTTCATGTTTGTCTTTTTCAGCCATGTAGGCTCCAGCTCACAGCAGCCCTCATACTTGGATCTGCCACCAGCTCCAGAACTTGACTGGATGGAGACAGGACAACCTCTAACATTCATTGGCCATCAGGTACAATGGATAAGCAAGCCGGAAAAGGGCCAATGCCCCCTCAGGTCTCAGAACATCCCTCTCTTCTGATTTTCCTACCTCTCCTCCTGGTCATTTCCTGTCCTCTGCAGGCTTTTCCCTCTTACTGCACTGTTCCCTAAATATTATGTTCTCAGACCTCTTTTCTCACCTTCCATAGTGATATTATCCACACCTGTTGCCACCATTGCCATTTAGAGAGGCAACTCCTAAATTTTGCCCTCTTCACAACTTACAGTTCTAGCTTAATAAAAGACATGTATACTTAAATATCACACAGGCACCTGAACCTAACCCCGACCACTCTTGCATTTCCAGTCACTATAAATGCAGATCCGTATCTCCTCCTCCTCTTTCATTTCCAACAAGTAGTCAATTTTACCTCCTGTGTGCCTCTGTTCAACCCTGGACAATTTCTACTCCCCGCTGCAATCCTGCCCCAAACACACAGAAAATCATTGCGTCACCTGCAACTTCATGTTCTACACTCCAGCTGTACTGCGTTGCTCCCTGCCTTTACACAGTTGCCACTGCCTAAAATATATTTTCTTTCCCTCTTTCCTCATCCTCTAGTTAAAAGCCTTCAGCTCTTAGCTCAAATGTTACTTTTTCATAGAAGGCTCACCTGAACAGGCCATCTCTGTTAGAAGTGGATGTAGCACCATGTAAAGCTGCAAATGTAATTTGTGTAATTTATGCTTAATTCTCTTCCCCAACCTTACGTACGCTCTGTGAGAGCAAGGTTTTGTTCCTCTGGCATGTGGTAGGCACTTCTACTTTTGGACATCTCCACTATTAAGAGTTTGACCCGCCTGAGGACAGTACTCTCTTTCGGTGATTTATTATGCTCTTAAGATTCAACATCAACTGGGGAGAATTAGCATTGTGGCAGCAGTCACACTCACCTCCTTTAAAGTTGGCTTTGCCTCTAATTATGAGTATCCTATCATCTCTTGGCTTTCTTACTTAGGATTTTTTTCCCATTTCCAACTACAGGATATACCAGGAGTTGGTAACATCCACTCAGGTAAGGTACAGAGACAATTATTCTTTTTAGAGAAAAAGTTGACTAAGATTAAGCATATGTATCTGATTAAAGACTTATATCCAGAATATATGAAGAACTTCCAAAACTCAGTAAGAAAACACCCAGTAAAAGCATACCAAATAGGTGTTCGTCATTAGGGAAATGCAAATTAAAGCTGTGATGAGATAACTACTATATGCATAATCAGAATGACTAAAATTAAAGGCTGAGCATACTAACGGTTTGGCAATGATGTGGAAAACTGAAACCCTCATGCACTGGTGGTGGGGATGTAAAATGGTACAGTCACTTTGGAAAACAGTTCAGTATACACCTACCATATTATCCAGCCAATCCACTGCTGAGTATTTACTCAAGAGAAAAGTAAGCCTGGGTACTTGTACACAAATCTTCAGAGCAGCTTTTTTTTCTAGCACCCCAAACTGGAAACAATGCAAATGTCCACCAACAGGTAAATGGATACATAATGGAATAAGGCCAGACACACTTCCCCCTCAAAGTATACACATTACCGACAGATCAGTGGTTGCCTGGAACAGGGGGAAGGTATAGGGAGAGGTAGGATTTTGATGGGGCACAGTGATACCTGGGAGTGATGATTTCACTCAAAATTTATCAAATTTACATGTGTGCAGTGTATTATATGTCAGTTATTTTTTAAAATAAAGCATATTGCATGTAAGTAAGGTATGTTGCTTTAAATTAGCTCCGGGCCTTCAATCTCCCAAGCTCCAGAATTCTTGGATTTTGCTTTTGAATGTTTCTAGTTTTTAATTAGGAGGCAAGTTAACAGCTAGAGCAAGTTTCACAATAGTCCAAAGTTAAAAAAAAAAAAAAAAAAAAAGCCTTAATTTCTTATTATTGGATCTTCCTTTTCCAGGTGCCACACCTCCCTGGATGGTCCAAGATGAGGAATACGTTTCTGAGAACCGACAAATAGGACCTTCCTATGAAGAATTTCTTAAAGAAAGTAAGTAAACTAATTCAAGATGGGCAGAAAGTTCTTCAATAGCAATCTTCACTCTCTAAACTGTTTCCTTATCATCGCACAGAGGAGAAACAGAAATTGAAGAAACTCCCCCCTGACCGAGTTGGAGCCAACTTTGACCACAGCTCCAGCACCAGTGCAGGCTGGTTACCCTCTTTTGGCCGAGTCTGGAATAATGGACGCCGCTGGCAGTCCAGGTATGGGTCCAGTGCCAGGTCTCCAACCTACCACCCCTTTGGAGATCTCACCCTTTATCTTGTTAACCCTTCATCTCCTTTTAGGCATCAGTTCAAAACCGAAGCTGCAGCAAGGAACAAACAGCAGTCACACAAAGAAAAAAGCTAATTGCTACCCTGTTGCCCATAAGTCTCCAAGCAAAGTCTACACATCCATACACACTATTATTCCTTCCACCAAATCCTTTGTAATTGCCTTTCTTAGGAAACAGACATACCCATTCATTTGATTTAATAAAGTTTTATTTTTCCAAATATACAGTTGGTTTGACCTGTAAAAAAATTTAAAAAAAGAGTCAGAACTATAAAGCCTTGTCAAGGGGATGTGTACTTCCTACAGCATGAGTCCCTGCGTTCTTGCTCACCTGTTCACACATCTTCACCAGCAGCTGGGGCATCTCCACCCTTGGTATTTCTGGTGTAAATTACTTGAGCTCGGTGCTTTGAAACCAGCTTGATAAGTCCTAAGGAGAAAGGATAGGTTTTCAGTATGCTTTCTATCCCTTCCCAAAACAGAATTGCTCAATTTGAAACAGTTTGGTAACAGAGGTAGATACACCTAGAGTTTTTGATGATCACCTATCTTCACTTACTCTTTAAATTAAGGGCCCATCACGTGCTCTTGTAATAATCACTCTCTAGCACTTTGTTGTAACTTTAACTATCAGTCACTATAGTTAGTCTTCGTTAATGTGAAATCATGGTAATTAGACCCGCTATCAATTTCTAAATGTAATGCATCAACAAAAGTTATTTCACCATAAAGGTTTTAAACTTAAAACATTTTTGAAATTATTGTAATTTCTTGAATTATTTAAAAAATATTGTTGCCTCTATAATTCTGTGCTTTTATTCACTTGAATCATAAAGGATCCTTGGGCTTCACTATTCACTAAACTGCCACAGGAGATCCATGGCACAAAAGTGGCTCACGCCTAGCACTCTGGGAGGCCGAGGTGGGAGGATCATTTGAACTCAGGAGTTCGAGACCAGCCTAA